TTAATGGCTGTAATGAAATTTTGGATTCTCTAAAGATTTCATTTATCTGTGCTATTGGTTTCCCCATTAAGTGCATATCTGTTCTGTGTACTTTTGCACATGGTTTGCATATCATAGTAACATTTATTACCGAAACTTTGCAAACTTCTTAAATTGAGTAGAAAGGTTGTATTGTGGAATACAAAGGTTATACCACCAGGTATTGAATGAAACAGTGTTTTGGGGGAAAAAAATAACAGGAAAAAACTATTTGAGTAGAAAGGATATACTATAGTTTTCATTTGTATTGATTTATGTGTCTTTTGCCCTTCCTCAATTTAGTAAAAATATTGTAGGTATTAGAAATATTATAGGTTCATGATATATTAGGTAAAATACATCATAAATGTATTTTAACCTAATATTTAGAAATCTTTTGACAAATTCATAGATAAAATACCATGCAAAAATGTTACTTTTGTTTTCAGATATTGTAGACTGGAATTTTACATAATTTTTCTAAGATTAACTCTATTTCTTACATTGAAAGCCTTTTAATAGAACAAACAAGAGAAAACTTCAAACTTTTTCTTGGTAGTCCTCATGCCCTCCTGTGATTCTTAAGTATATGTTAACTAGTTTCAGATGTGTTTTGTTCTCTGACTCAAAGTCAGCCTTTTATTTTTAAAAATGTAATTGTGTAATTAGCACTTAATTGCTTTGGATATTTTGGGTATTTAGAGGAGAGAGTAATTAAAAGGCCAGAGAAATTAAACTTTCATGGTGTTCTTTAAGTATATGTAATTTCTTTTTTTAAATGTCCTCTAAAGGCAGGACTGGCAACCAAAAAAATAAATGAAGACCTGGGGTGTTTTAAAAAGTTTAACATCTGTTTTATCGGTGGATGCCGTCGTATTGAATTTTTTTTAATTCAGTTGAAAAAAAGAGCATCTAGAATTCAAGAGACTGTGCAGTTTATCACTTCAGGCAGGTGTTATCTCAATAATAATATCCAGCAGATGGCCATCACCTCTTCTGTGCCTCAGGATTCTGTAGGAAGAGAATAAGAATCTTTTCCTCACTTCATAAATATTGCATATCATGAAATTTAAATATTTGCCATAATTAAGAGTGGTGTATGGTTGATTGGGACAAACCAGAGCGTGGCAGTGTCGGATGCTCGCCTGTATCCTTCACCGTTTCGGAGGCCTAGGTCTCAGTGGGTCACTCCACCCACTCCACTTCTGTCAGAGCTTCTACCTTGAGTAAGTTGGAGTGTCAGACTGGTAATCTCTGAAACCTCACAAGCTCAGAAATGCTGTTTCATGAGGCTCACATTAACTAAAAACCCTATATTTTGTGGATCTGGAGGCTGACAAGGCTGATTTTTAAGTGAAAATATTCTTATATTAATTTTGATAATGAACACTTGAACTATGACATTAATAAGCTTAGTAGTTATGAGATATATTGGATGTTTTTATTTCTAAAGATTTTATTTATTTTCAAAGACAGGGGAAAGGAAGGAGAAAGAGAAGGAGAGAAATATCAATGTGTGGTTGCCTCTCACACACCCTCTACTGGGGACCTGGTCCACAACCCAGGCATGTGCCCTGACTAGGAATTGAACTGGCAACCCTTCCATTTTCAGGCCACCACTCAATTCACTGAGCCACACCATCCAGGGTTATTTGGTGTTTTTAATATGCATCTTAAACCAAAAAGGGTTTTACTTCAAATTTGCTTTATTTACTGAATAAGAAAGGTATACAGGATTGAGAGATTTATTTCATGTCGATCCCCAACCACTTTGGGAAGTTATGCTAAAAGTGCTAAAAACATTGCCAATACTCTCCCTCCCTTTCTAACTAATACAGTGTTTACTTTTTTTTTTAATCTTGATCATTTTTTTTTCTTGAAGAAAACAGCATGTTACTTAAACATCCAGTTTTTCACTTGGGAAATTCAAAGAATCGTAAGTCACCACCTGGCTGAAATATGTGAAAAAACTGATACAAAAACCTGGATGGAATGTATGATTGTCAAGGAAAATATAAATTGCAAAACTAAGTGTAGAAGAGATAAAAATTTAAAGAGATCAGTAGACATAGAAGCAATAGGAGAAGCAACCAAAGAGCTACTCACCACAGTAGCACCAGGCCCAGACTGCTGTTTGTGAGGAGTTCTGCCCACACTTTAAGGAATGGATAAATCCAGTGTTGTGCAAATAAATACCACTGATAAAGGTAACAGTAGAGCAACTTCCCATGAGTGTGAAGGAAAGGAGTGAAGTTTCTTCCTTTATGATCAAGAGGAACCTCAGCAGACAACTGGGACCAAAGATGAAAGAGATCAGTGAGAGTTACCAAATAAAACCTTGAACTCTGGGCAGGGTTTGTTGTCTCTGCCTGGTTGATTCATGAGCCATTAAATCGGAAAATAATGAAGCCAGTCTAGGTAGGCTTTGTAGAAGACATGAATATTCTTTAAAATATTCAGTTAAAATACAGGTTGCACTTGTATTGTATTCAGTTACCCAATTTGAGCATTAAATACATGCAAAGCGCATGTTGGTGGTGAGACTGGGGCAGTGGATAAAGTTGGAAATGCTCCCGTGTGGGAGACAAGGGAGTGGACAGAGAATGAGCCCGAAGAGCGTGGGCTGACAACTGAGCCATCACCGCTAGATCTTAGAGTTGGGACCCTGAACCACCAAATGGTCAACCACATTTTAAATCCATACCCGATGGTTTGGGTGATGATCCTAATAGTAAGGAATCTTTCGAGGTCTAGGGGTCAGGAAACCAAGCCAAATGGATGGTGCTGACCTTAAAAATCTCCTAGTGGGATCAATGATAGAAACTTCTCTTGGGACCTAGACCAGGTGAGCAAGACCCTTAGTTCATAAATGCTGCTCTGCTCCTCATTCTCACACTGTCATTTCCTCTGAACTTTGCCAAGTTGTTCCCTCCTCCTTTCTTAGGAAATCCAGGTGAAAAGAAACATGAAGGTTGAAACGGTGCATAAGGCAGTGGGAGTTCAGTAAATAAAGGAGAAAAGGAGAAGATAGCCAATACATAACACAGTATTTCCAATGTTTGGAGTAACGTCTATCTATCTATCTATCTATCTATCTATCTATCTATCTATCTATCATCTATCGTCTATCATCTATCTATCTAAATAATATCACTCGTGGTGACAGGCTTTTGGAAGCCATCCTTTGGGTAAACTTACTATTAGATCAACTTTATACTGAGGGAGGAAAGTGAGGTCAGGGTAGGGAAGAAAGTTTGGGTTTTTTATTTTCATATTAAGTAAGTCATGAATTTAAATTGTAGGTATTGTGCTGGAAACCTTGGTGCAGTGAATGGGAGCGCAGCACGTGCCTTTTAAAAGGATGTTAGCATGTGCATTTGGACTGCCCGGTGACCTTTGAAATTTTGTTGTGAGCTGCTGTCAGAAACATAATCATTTTTTCTTTCTGAAGTAGATTTTAACATCTGCAAAGGTTGATCGAGCTAGGATAGTTTTAATAAAATATTAATCTCTATTTTTAATGTCAACCAGCTTTTAAAACTGTTCACCGGCTGCCTGAAACGTCAGCCCAGGGCACTTGAGTTGATTATAGTAAATGCCTTTTTCTTCAACACGCTTGTGGTCAGAGCACATTTACAGGATAGAAATTCTTCAGTCTCTTTCATCTGCAGTTCAGTTTTCCAAATTCTCTTGCTTTTAAAGTAAGATTACTTTAATATTTTGGTTTTTTATCTCAATAGTTCACTTACATTTTTTTATAGTTCAAGAATGGGAGATTGTTCTGAGTTCTGACATCAGCCTTCAAAATCTGGATAGTTGAACGATATCAACTTTTAATAAAGTTTAACTTAAATATCTCCTTTAAATATGTCTTATCATTAAAAGGTTATTTACGTTGAAAATGCTGACCTTTCAAGATGTACACAAGAATGTTCTCAAACAGAGTTTCTGAACATTGGCCATGAAACCACCGTCTTGGGCTGACAAATGGATTGGAAATAAGCTACCCAACACTGGGAATGGGCCATTAATTTTAATCAAAGGTGATGCAGGAAGGCGAATGGGATGCCTGACAATGTCAACAGCCCAGTAGGTGTTAAGGGACCACACAGCCTTCCTTGTTACTTGGTTGGGCCATTAGTTGAGGTTGGGTGAAGACAGAAAGCCATGTCTGGAATTGAATGACCAGGTCACTCCAAAATCTAATGGAGAACTCCTCATTTCAGAAATCACATTGTAATGCCATTGGAAGTCAAGGACAGCATTTAGAAAATATCAGAGGAATTTTTTTAAACAAAGGACATAGCTAGTTTTTTCCAACTTTGTAAAGCTCTCTGTTTTCCCATCTCTTTCCCTTCTGAATAGATCATTGATATGTACACAGGATCAAGAAGTCAAATAGACCTAGGGGGAAAAAAATCTCAAACCAGTTTGCTTTTCAGAATTACATACTGTTAGTTGTAAAACACTGGTAAATGCCAGAAACAATAGCATACCAACCGATTAAAGCAAGATAATTAATTCTCCGTCGTGATCTCTTTGTCCTTGGTCTTCTCTTGTGTTCTTGTGTGTAAGTGTAGTTGCACTGATAGCAACTAAACTTTGCTTTAATGCAAGTATTTGTTTTATAATTGTAAAGAACACCGTGCATGTACCGTACCATAAATTGTCAATATCAGCTGATAACATTAATGATATTCGTGGTAATGAAGCTTTTTCTTCTAATCAGTAAGTATATTTCATTATTTTGAGTATTTTCAATTATAAAAAGGTAGCATATGACAGCTTAAATTGGTAAAGTTAAAGACATAAAAATGCAGAAGGGACAAAAAGGCATTCTTATTATATCAATGCCTCAGTTTATTAAGAAAGATATGTATAACTACATTAGTAATTTGTATACATTTTTAAGAAAAAAGTAATTGTACTGCTGTCTAGTTAATGAAATACTGTTGTAAGTAATAGTATATGTTCTTCTTTAGATGAAGATCAGCTCCGTGCAAAGGGTTATGACAAAACACCAGACTTTATTTTACAAGTACCCATTGGTAAGTTCTTCAACTCTGTCATGTATTTGTTTATAGACAAAAGGGATGTGTTTTTTCCATAGATTTCTAATTTTTGTCTTTTACTAGCAAATGTTAGCAGAGTAGATCAGCTTTGTAATATTGAAATCATTGGGAAAATTATTTTTAAATAGCAGGTAATAATAGGTTTAGAAGAAATCTGTCTCTTAAAATCATTTACATATACTTGAAAAATAAGCATGTCTTCTAAAGACATTTGGGTTGCTGTTACAAGTCATTTCTCTAAACATTAAATTTTTAAAATAGCGTTCTGTTGAAAAGCCAGGGTCACTTTTGTTTGCTTTCATATTACTTGTCAACTCATATAGTCTGAGAATAAGAGAGGGACTTTTGAAGATGATGATGAAAATAAAAGGGATGTGATCGTGGCATAAATGTTCCTTGTAGCAAACATATACCATGTGTCACTCTATAATTACTTCCATAGATGACAGGGAGGGCTAAGCCTCTGCTTTGTTAATGTGAAGCACAGAGAGGCCTGTACAGAGTACAGAATGTTCAATCTTCCCTTTCCTGTGCTCCATATTAGTAATGCTTTGTCCCTTAGCTGTAGAAGGGCACATAATTCACTGGATTGAAAGCAAAGCCTCATTTGGTGATGAATGTAGCCACCACGCCTACCTGCATGACCAGTTCTGGAGCTACTGGAATAGGTAAGGTCCCATTATTTTTCTCTTAAGATAAACGATACTCAGCTGAAATCTCATTAGAAAAACTATTTTGTTTAGCTGGTAAAAATGCTAGTAGCCTTTGTTTCTAGTAAATACAGAGAGTTGATTAATGTATTCATTTCAGATAATTTAAACTTCTCTGCTTTCATAATGTTGCTTCATTTTTTAAAACTAAAGATCTTTGTGTTAGGTCAAAATTAGTACATATGCCATTTTCCATTTTATAGTGACAATATTGGTGTTACTCAGAATATGAATAATAAGGAGTGGTATTGACACAGAATAATAATACTGTGATATTGACACTACCTCTCTCCTTTTGATATGAAATTTGTGTGGACTGTCAGACCTTAAACAGTGTTTTATCCTCAGCTCTCTGAGGAGAATATCCAAGTAATACAGGGTGAGCAAAAGTAGGTTTACAATTGTGAGTATGCGAAACACAGAGATGATTCTTTTTTTTTAATTTGGAAAGTTCATTTTAAAAATTAAAACATTTATCTAAGGAAAAATTTTAAATTCTTTTATTATGTATTTATTAATTAGTTGTTATTTTTACTCACCTACTTTTGCCCACCTCTGTATAAAAGATCCAAACAAATTACCTTCCAACAGTACAAAACAGTCTACCTACCAACTTCACAGTCAATAACATTCCTTAGGGCATGGAAATCCAGGCAATTAAGAAGTGTGGCCCTGGCCAGGTGGCTTAGTTAGTTGGAGTATTGTCCCATGCACCAAAAGGTTGTGGGTTTGATCCCCAGTCGTGGTATGTACACAGGTTGCAGGTTCATGCTTGGTCAGGACAAGGATGAAAGACAACCTATAGGTATTTCTCTCTCACATCAGTATTTCTCTCTCTCTCATCGATGTTTCTATCTATCTCTCTCCCTTCCTCTCTCTCTGAAATCAATGCATACCCTCGGGTGAGGATTAAGAAGAAAAACAAAAATATGGTGTTAAAGGAGGAGACCGTATTAATGCCACATTCCTGAGCACCCACAGTGCACTTGGACCTGCACACTATCTCAGCTAGTTCTCTCAAGGGAGTTACTTTAACCCCCTCTTTACAGAAAACTAACCTAATACTCAAAGAGTGAGTTTAATATGTCATACAACTGGTCATCGCAGGCCTGTATTTGTCCTTCTCACTTGCTAGCCTGAGCTATTTCCAGCACAACTCTCTTTTCATTGACAATACAACTGTTGAAACTTTGGCTTTTCATGTTACTGAAATCTTCAGTTTTCACCCTTCGAATAGGAGGTGGGTCAACAGGTAACCTTCCTGGAAGAACTGAGTTCCTTGGCCACTGGCCAACAGGAAGAATACAATAGTACTCGACATTGGCTGAGATCATTAAGGAATGAGGCAGTAGCATCTGTGGACAATAGTCTTATGCTGAATTGGGGGGGTGGCGAGGACAGTAACAGACTACAGAATTTGGCATTGCATTGTTACCCAGCCTCACAAAGGGCCAGCAGACCTTGCCCACAGCAGCTGCGCTAAACTAAGCCCACTTTTGCCATGGTAACAATGATCATGACAAAATGCTGAATGTAATGGCTTTCTTGATTTTCTTGTGTAATTGTGCGTAGCATCCGAGCTTTACTTTACAGGGATGGAGGAGGAAAGTGCAAAATGTTTTAGAAATCATTGCTGCTTCAGCGTTTCCTGTCTTTTATTCAGCCATTATTCAAATTAGCAGTAATGTGGCAAATTGAATTTTTGATTTTTAGCAATTTTATGATGAGTTTGAAATAGTAAAGAAAGCATCATTTTTGATAGTATAGGAAAAGCAATGATATGAAAATCAAATTGTGTAAGTTTGGGTTGCTAAAGGATTTTAAAAGCTAATCAACTCAATCATTATGCATTGAGACTATCTTCCCCTTTTGGTACTGGTCAAGTTTTTTTTATGAGGAATCCCAAATAGTAGAGCTTACTGAAAATTCCGTAAGCATATCTTTTCTTCTAAAACAACTCAACTGTTTTTGAGTGCCTACTATGTGCCTAATACTCTCTGTTTTAGAGGCTGATTAAATAATCTAGTCACATGTATGATAGACCTACAAATTACTCACATGGCTCTGAACAATAGATAATTTAATACAGTTTTCTTTGCACTGGATTTTAGATTATTTTGTTGCATGCTGCTTTTATATTGTAATGATGATTTACTTACACTATTATTGGTTTATATTCTCTAAATACGTTCTTTGAATGTATATTGGCTAAGTGGGCACATAGTTCATTTAGGATATGTTATGTGATAAGGGAAAGCCAACCTTCATTTGGAATGTTCCAGATCATATGAGGAACAAATACTCTACACAGAAGTCACTGCTCTTACCAAGTGTCTGCTGAGAGGCCAAGAAATACAAGTAGTGCTAATATTCAAAATGGAACATACAGGCATTTACTTGGATTTAAAAGTTCAGTTATAATCATGATGCAGATTTACCAGCGATGGGGCATCTTGACAGAAGCACTTAGCCTATTATGAAACTATGCAATCCTATTTTATATTTTGACTCGATGCAACTCACATAGCACTTGCTAAAGTTCTTCAGAGTTAGAAGGAATTATCCCCCACATGTAGGTAGCTTTCAAGGACGTTATTGGTTGTCATTTGGGCTAATTGCTTTATTTGTGTGGAAAGCCTCTAGTTGACATAAAAACTGTTATCTAATTGTCAGTACTTTTAGATTAAACATTGAATTTTATAATAAAACTGTTCAATTAATGTTTGTAGAATCGTGACCTTAAATAAACCCATCTTTCCACACAAATAACTACAGACCCCCTCACTTTTACTTTAATATTTCTATATGAGTTTTTTATGTAAACTGATATATTTACTCATCCTTCAGCAACTTTTGGCAAAGTTGCTCACACCCTACCTCTTTTATGAAAACATCTTCTTTTCTTGGCTTCCAAGAGATATTCTTCTGGGCTTCTCCCTGCCACTCCAGCAGTGTGATCAGTCTCCTTTGTCAGTTCACCTTCCTCTCCCCAGCTCTAGGCCAGAGGGCCTGGGAACTCCGTGTTCACCCGCGCTCCCTTTCCCATCTACAATCACTCCCTTGTGTTTCTTTGGAGATCTCATCAGAGACTGCGGCTTTATGCATCGTCTCTATGCTGGCATCTCCTAATTTTTATACGTAGCCATAATAAATCCCCAGAGTATAATTTTTTGGTCACCCCAACTGTACACATTGTACCTTTTCTTGGATAAGTAATAGGTGTCTCATACTCAACATGTTCAAAATGAAGCCCTTGACTTTCCTTCCTAAGTTTGTTTACGCTCCAGTTTCCTCCTCATCTCAACTAATGGCACTTCAATTTGCCATAATACTCAAGCCAAAAAGCTAAGTATCATCACCAATCCATCAGCAGGTCCTTTCAGCTCAACCTTCATCACATCTCAGATCGTGCCATTTATCACCATGCTGCCACCTCAGTGGCTGTCACCACCTCTTGGACTATTGCTCCAGCTTCCCAACTGGACTCCTTACATCAGCTGTTGCACTCTTGTGGTCCTTGTGGTCAGTTTTTTATACCTCAACCAGAGTGACTCTTTGAAAATATATACATCAGTTTGTGACAGTTCCCTGCTCAATTTTTTATCAGTGGCTTCCCATCACATTTAAAATGAAATCCAAATCCTTTACTGTGACATCCAGAGCTCTGCAGGATCTGCCTCTCCCCTCTCCAATTCTCTGCACACCAACTCTCTCCCCAACCCAACATTCTCTCCCATCCTTACACTTGTTTGGCCACATAGGCTTTCTCGGTCTTCCTTGAATCCACACTGTTTGTTTCTACATCAAGATCCTTACTCTGGTTCATCCTTCTGCTTGAGATTTTCTGCACTGGTATCTCCCCTTAGCAAACTCCTCACGGCATTAAGATCCCTGCTCATATTTCTCTTCCTTAGGGGAGGAGAGGACCCTCAGTCCTCTCTGTCCTCACTTGGCTTTGCTTTACTTCATAATACTTACCCCTGTCTGAGTGAATGAATACACTTTAGTTGCAAACATTTATATAAACACCAACTGGCTTCTTTGAATACAAGCATTTTTGAAGAGTTTACCTCTTATATTGCTATTCGTAATTACTGTATGTAGTGTGCCCCTGATTCCTTTGTAATCGAAGCTTCAGGAATTTTTTCCGGCTCAATTAACCTGAATTTTTTTTTAATTTAAGATTTGATTTATTTATTTTTTGAGAGAGGGGAACAGAGAAAAAGGGAGAGAAACATCAATGTGTGATTGCCTCTTGCGTGCCCCCTACTGGGGACCTGGTCTGCAACCCAGGCATGTGCCCTGACTGGGGATCGAACCAGTGTCCCTTTGGTTCACAGGCCAGCATTCAGTCCACTGAGCCACACCATCTTTTGGGGGGGGTTGTTTTTTGGGGTTTTTTTTTTTCAATATAGTCAAAGCCATTGAGTACAGAGTATAAGCTGCCTTTCCTACAAGTAGGCCCATCCCAGGTATGAACCTTGAATAAATAGCTCCTCAAAACTCTGTAGTCTTTACTTTTATTGAGTTAAAGGAAGTAAAGAGTTCCTCTGATAAGTGCCATAATGTACATAGCCCCAAATTACATAGGACTATACATACAATTGTATAGAAATTAAATATTTATTTATATACATATATGCACTCCATATACATAGGGCTAGATATACAAATTGTATAAAACGACCTATTTTCTTATGTAATCAATATTGGAAAAAGGCGTTCTGATTTCTATTTGCATCTCTCTGATGGCTAGTGATGCTGAGCATCTTTTCACATGTCTCTGGGCCCTTTGTATGACCTCCTTGGAGAAGTGTCTATTCAGGTCCTTTGCCCATTTTTTAATTAGATTGTCTATCTTCCTGGTATGGAGCCATGTGAATTCTTTATATATTTTGGAGATCAAACCCTTGTCTGAGGTATCATTGGCAAATATATTTTCCCACACAGTTGGTTCT